TACATTTTTTGCTTTTTTTTTTTTTTTTTTGAACGTCCAGAGGACCAGATTGAACTTTTTTGGAGTTTTCATAAAAGTTTTATTTATTTTGTAAATAAACATGCTCCTTTCAGCAAGTTCAAAATAAAGGGATGAGACAGTCCCTGTTTTACTCCTGAGCTAGCTGACCTCCTGCACAGGAGAGATCATCTTTGGGCCGCAGCGAGAAAATCTGGCTCATACACTGATTGGTTGAGTTTTCGCCAGATGAGGAATAAATGCACAACTTCTATCAAAGCTGCAGAACGTAACTATTTCTTATCTCAGATCTCCAAAAATCTAAATGACCCTAAAATATTCTGGAAAACCATCTAATTTCTCTCAGGCACCACCCAATCATCTGACCTCCCATCACAACTTCTCATTAACTCTGTTCCTGTGTCAAATAAGCACGAAATCCTGAACTGTTTCAACAAACATGTTGTTGCTTTATTTGACAAAGTTACTAATGGAAAATCAGCCACTTACCCAAAAAGCCAAACTTCTACAAACCATATCTCTCCTACAAGTCAATCTTCAGTAAATCACACCTTCTTTTTCCCCGTTCTCAGTTACTGAAGTTAGTAAACTGTTAAAAGGTCTAGACTCTAAAAAATCTGCAGTTAAACTGGGTTTCTTTTTCAGAAACAGATCCTGTCTAACTCTGAATTATAGAAAACGCCTTGTATCTGTGACTTTCCTTCCCTCCACTGACTATGGTGACATTATCTATATGAAATCTCTTACAAGCACTCTGCAGATGTTGGATGCTGTCTATCACGGTGCATTAAGATTCATAACTAGCTGTAACTACCGTACCCAGCACTGCACCCTGTATTCACTGGTTAACTGGACATCATTAACTTCACGCAGACTCTCTCACTGGTACATTTTCATCTTTAAATCACTTCTTGGTCTGTTGCCTTCATACATCTCCTCCTACATGTCTCTGTGTGAGTGCAGCTACGGAGTGCGCTCTCAGGACATTATTACCTGCAGTGTTCCCTCAGTGAGGACTGAACTAGGCAAAGGGGCCTTCTCCTACTCCGCTCCTGTTTCCTGGAACACCCTGCAAAAAGATTTGAAGCTCTAGACTTTGACCTCTCTAAGTGGTTTCAAACAACTGCTAAGTTCATGGCAAAAACTAATGCAGCCATGTTTTTAGTATTCTAGTGTTCTACATCGCTTTGCAATTGAGCTGTTTTTTGTTTCATTTTATAATACCATTTTCTTTCATTTTTCTTTCATTTATTCTGCTCAATTCACATGCTTTCTTTTACGGTTGCAAAATTATATAATATTATCTATAGACTGGGTGGCACGGTGGCAAAGTTGGTAGAGCTGTTGCCTCTCAATGAGAAGGTTGCCGTTTCAAATCCCAATCAGAGGCATTTCTGAGTGAAGTTTGCATGTTTTCTCTGTGCTGTGTGGGTTTTCTCCAGGTAAATGGTAAATGGACTGTACTTGTATAGCGCCTTTCTATCTTATTTCAAGATACTCAAAGCGCTTTACACTACAATCTGTGCCTCATTTACCCATTCATACAGCACTCTACTAGATCTCTACAAAGATAATTGAACTAATCATTCTAAAGAGACTAATCAGTGCTTTAGATCACATTCATACACTGGTGGGACACACATCGGAGGCTATGAGGGGTTCAGTGTCTTGCCCAGGGACACTTCAGCATGTGACTGCTGGTGGATTCGAACCCCCAACAATCGCATTGGAGGACGACTGCTCTAACCACTCAGCCACAGCCGCCCCGGTTTCCTCCCACAGACCAAAAACATGCATGTTAGGCTGATTGGTAACTCTAAATTGTCTCTAGGTGAGAGAGAGAGAGAGAGAGAGAGAGAGAGAGAGAGAGAGAGAGAGAGAATGGCTGTTTGTCTTTATGTGTCCCTGCCATGGACTAGAGACATGTCCAGGGTGTCACCCACCTCTCACACAGTGACTGCTGGACATGGGCACCAGTAAATGCAGTGACCCAAAACGGAAGAAGGGGGTAAATATAATGGATGGATGGATGGAAGCATTACATGATTTTTTTGCTTCAGCAGAAATCAAAACAATGAATGCCGTGGCAGTGAACCGAAACAAAGAAAAAAAGTAAAACCAAAAACTTCTTTTAAAGTCTTGTAATATTAACAACAAATTTAAGTGGCTTTGTTATGTTATTTAGGTAATAAAAAGTCAGTGTCTATGACAGAAAACATTTACTTTAAACATTCCTATTTACTCTTACATTGTTAGTTTAAATGTAACAAATATGGCTGCTTCAAAGACTGTACACCTTTTCAAAAAATATTTACAATTTTTGGTCTCAGCTGATGTCAGAGAAATAAAGCGATAAAGTTGCTTACCAGTAGAAAAAAGACTGTGAAGACATGTCCAATAAAAGTAGACTGGTAGCCATTCATTTTGAATGGTTACGATGAAGTAGAAAATAAAAGCAAATTGTTAAGTCTTTGATCAGTTCTACTCATTAAAGTTGCTCTAGAATAAAGCCAGCTTTCTGTGAGATGTGACAACACACTTCTTGAACAAATGGTGGCTGGTTGAGTGTACAGCTTTTATAATGCAGCATTACCTGAAATTCTGGTGTTGCAAGTTCAGCAACTGCCATGGATTACCAATCAAGGGCTAGAGCTGTACTGCACGTCTGGATTTACTGTGTTGTATAACAAAAAGGTTTCATCCATGTTATTTGCTATTCTGACTGAGGTTCTTATTTCCAAGGGCTGCTCTATTAGATAGTCTGAGTTAATTTGTAGTGCTTGAGCCATGGATTTGCCATCATTCAACACTCTGTTTGGCCCATTCCCACATAAGACTTTGAAGAAATCTGATCTGAAAAACAACTTGATATCACAGCCAAAATTAATTACCCAAGCTATGCTGACCTTTCACGTCTCAAAGAGAATAAAACATTGATAACACTTGTGAGGGGTCGTTTCAGGTTACCAAACAGGAACATACGCACAGTCATTTTGTCTGTATAAATAGGTTGAGCTGGTTTATGATCTCTGTCAGTCTCCCATCTGATGGGAGACTGCAACAAAGCCAAGATTCAACTTGTCTGCTGGATTCCTTAGATAGAGAACTTTACTAATTGGCTTTTATGTGAATGTTCCTGTAAAGTGCCCTGAGACAACTTTGTTGTGATTTGACGGTATATAAATAAACTGAATTGAATTGAATTGTTAGACAGATGGCCCTGGATAGAAGCTTTTATTTTAAACTCTTTTTGGGATGTATTGTTTGGATTTTGCATAAACAGAAAAGGTTGACGATGGCTTTGGAGGACTTGTGCAATTTTGAGGACATTTTTTATCCATAATTACCAAAAGAAAGATTTTTTGTGCCATTGGGACTAAAGAAAGCTTGTAGCTATATAACTGATGTGCCCTTCAGATACAACACAAGTCCGCTACTTTTTTTATATACCAGAGGCAGAGTATCTGGAAGAAAGCCCAATACAGTTTGGGAAAATGAATGCAGAGCTCAAGTGTTATCTCATCTACAGAGTCCCTCTTAACATCCTTCTCCTTGCCCACATGCCTTCCTTTTGCTTCCTCTCAGCCTACCTTTTCCCTTTCCCATGTCTCATGGGATCACCACCTTGGCGTTCATGTTTCAGGGCGGCGTCCTGGCTGCAGCAGACACTCGTTCCAGCTGCTCTGGCCTCGTGGCATGCCCAACCTCCCAGAAGATCCTGCCCATTCACAGCCACTTGGTAGGCACCACCTCAGGAACTTCAGCCGACTGCGCTCTTTGGAAGCGGATCCTGTCTCGAGAACTGCGGCTTTACCAACTGCGTTATGGCCGACGCTTGTCCACGAATGGAGCTGCCAAACTGCTTTCTCACATGCTTCACCCTTTTAAAAGGACTGAGCTTTGTGTAGTCGGCACGCTGTGTGGGTGGGATGGAGCTGAGCAAGATGATGGATGTCATGACAGTAGCTTGGAAACTCAAAAAATGGACTGGAAGATGCAGATGCCTCCAGTGAAAATATCTCTCTGTTATGGAGTCAGGGCTCTTTTTTGACACAGCCAAAGAGTTCAGAGAAGAAAATTAGTTTCTCTGGGCCCAGACTGTTTTATGTATACAGCTCTCCAGGGGACACTTTTCTCTGTGGGTTCAGGATCCCCCTACGCCTACTCCATCCTGGACCAAGGAGTTCAGTGGGGTCTGACAGTAGAGGAGGCCACATCAATAGCTCGAGAGGCTGTGTTCAGAGCCACCCACAGGGATGCATACTCAGGCAACTGTGTGGACATCTATCACATCACCTCAAAAGGATGGACTCGCAGGACGAGCGAGGACCTGAAAGAGGAATATTACAGAGAAAAAGAGAGGCGACAGCTTGAGAGGAAGATGCATGAAAACTTTCTATGAGCAAACACAGGCAGGAAACAAAAATCATCTTGAGAAAAGGAAAGCAAATACTGAGGCATATGTTGAACCAGAAACTGAATTGATAAACAAAACAGTTGCATCCTTGCAGCTATTTCTCAAATGATTTAGGCATGAGTATCATTTCATTTATTAAACAGCTGATAGTTTGTTTGCAGTGATGATAAAATGTACTCAGCAGTGTGCTGCTGGCTGCCATTTTGATGTAGATCTTACAAGATTATAGATCATTTCATCATTTCTAGTACAGCGTAATTACTACCTATGCCTGCACGTCTGATACTTAAAGACTGAAAAACAGACAATGAGTCGTCCGGAGCAGGCCCGGAGTGGCCAATCGGGAGGGTCTGGAGATTTCCCGGTGGGCCGGTCTGATGTGTGGGCTGCAGGGCCGGCACTCCCTGGTTTTTTTTTTTTTTCAGAACTTTTTATTAACAACATATAAACATAGAACACGCTGCTGCTGCTCCTGGGCCGCTCCACCTCCTCCACAGGGCTGCAGCTCTGTTTTTTTTTTTTTTTTTCCACAAGTCGGCTCCGCTGCGCGACCTGTCAATCAATCCAGTAGGCGTGTCAGCAAATGACCAATCGGTAACCTCAATTTGTCCCCAATGTAAACGCCCCTTACCTGAGGCTGCAGCCTGGACGCTACAGTCAGAGGGTTTGTGAAAAATCCCCAGAACAAAATGGTTAAACGGTGTCAGTGGAGAACAGGTAATCCAGACACATGATACCCTGATCGTTTAGAGGGTGGGATACAATTTATTCATTTTCAAAAATTAAACAGAGTTTGGAAAACATGTAAAAAGCCGGGGACCGACCACATCAGCTGATCACAAGTTATAAACAGGAAGTAGCTACAACCTATTAATCTCTACAAAAGTAAATGCAGGTAAATCCTCCATTTTCTGTCATAATTACATTGTATGCTTAATGGTTAAATTAAAGGTTAATGCTTAATTCAGGTTATGTTCATTTGTCATATGCAGGTTAACACAAGGTTAACAGCACAATAAAATACTCAGGATGAGAAGAACTGATATGACTCACTAAAAAAAAGAACAAACAAGAAATACTAAAGCATTCAATAAGAGTACAACATAAAGTACCAAAAAGTGAAAAAGTAAATACAATAATTACAAGGTCCTAAAGAAGAAATAGTAAACAACAACATGGTAGAATATAACAGTGCAAGTTTTTTTTTATTTTTGTAACAGTGCAAATAGGATGGATTTGTATGAATAAGTATTTCAAGGTAGTAATATAAGCTTAAATTCCCATGATGTATATTATACATAACTAACATAAACTACACAGGTTGTGTGACAGGTTATTGCACAGGTAGTGAGTAACACTGAGATGAATTATGATGGTAAGGTAGATACATACGTGATACAGCCACATAATGCATTTGCAATAAAAATATTAGGTATCACAAGATAATATTATTCATATTAGCTGTCACAAATGTGGTGCAAAGTTATTGCCAGTTGTTCAGTGTTATTTATCAAGAGTTCAGTAATCTGACAGTTTATGGATAATGACTTGATATTAACTTGCTCATGGGCCCAGAGTGGAGCGAATGAGGGTGGAGGGAGGTGTGGGTGTTTCACCTTTTCCACCCACATTTTGATGTTGACGGTACTAGGAGGTGAACCTGCGACTTTCCGATCACAAGCCCATTTTCTAACCTCGGCGCCACCACTCCCCCTTAATGATGCTGCGTGCTTTACGCAGACATCAGCTGTGGTAGATGTTCTGGATGGTGTGGAGACTGCTACCAGTGATGTCTTCTGCTGTTTGCACCACGCTCTGTAAAGCTTTCCGGCTTTGACTGGTGCAGTTCATGTACCACCCTGTGATGCAGCCTGTCAGCAGGCTCTCCATGGTGCACCTATAAATGTTGGTGAGGATGCTGGCGTTCATACCAAACTTCTTTAGTCTTCTTAGGAAGTAGAGTTTTTGTTGGGCTTTCTTGACCACAGTGTTTGTGTAAAGTCCAGGATAGATCCTCAGTAATGTGAATGCCGAGGAACTTGAAGCTGCTGACCTGCTCCACCTCAGTGTTGTTTATATAGATGGTGGAATGTTGACCTCCGCTCTGTTTCCTGAAGTCCACTATCATGTTGTTTGTTTTGCTGATATTAAGAGAGAGGTTATTTTGAACTCAATTCAGTTTATTTATACAGCGCCAATTCACAACAAAGTTGTCTCAGGGCACTTTAGTAATTTTTACTAATTTAATTTGGTGTCCATTTCCACTGTTATGCTGATGACACACAGCTCTACTTGTTAACAAAACCAAACTTAGTTCTGCATTGACAGAGCTTAAATGGGGGGTTCCGCAGGGGTCCATCCTGGGTCCCCTCCTATTCTCTTTATACCTGCTGCCACTTGGTGCTATTTTCCGGAAATACAACGTACCCTTTCACTTTTTTGCCAATGACTGTCAAATTTACTTCCCCCTAAGACATAATGGTACATGCTCTAGTCAACCTCTGCTCGACTGCCTGGCTGACATCAGGGACTGGATGGCTTTAAATTTCTTAAGTTTCAATGAAAAGAAGTCTGAAGTCATGTTGTTCCCTCCCAACGACACGATCACAAACCACTGCATCGACCTTTCCACTCTAACCCTGTCAGAAAAACAAAGAGTCACTAATCTGGGAGTGACAGTGGACCCTTCCCTGAAACTTAACAATCATGTAAACATGATTGTTAAATCATGCTTCTTCCAACTGAGGCGGCTGTCTAAACTGAAGCCCATATTATCCAAAAATAACCTGGAGACAGTAATACATGCATTCATTACATCTAGGCTTGATTACTGCAATTCACTCCTGTTTGGTATCAGTCAGACCTCCATTGCACGACTACAACTGGTCCAGAATGCAGCAGCCCAATTTTTAACCAGTACAGGCAAAAGAGAGCACATTAATCCAGTTTTGGCCTCACTGCACTGGTTACCGGTTCACTTTCGAATCCAGTTCAAAATACTCCTGTACAAATTGCTGAACAGTTTTGCACCCCCATCTCTTTGATTTGCTACAGCTGTATGTCCCACCACGTTCCCTGAGGTCAGCGGACCAATTGCTCCTCACAGTTCCAGGAACTTGTCTTAAGCGCAGAGGTGACAGGGCCTTCTCTGTAGCAGGACCAAGACTTTGGAACGAGTTACCTCTGCTAGTCAGACAGGCCCCCTCCCTCTCGGTTTTCAAATCCCGTTTGAAAAACCACTACTTTTCAGTAGCTTTCAACACCAGATGATCTGTGTTTTGAACTTGTATGCGCCACACCGGTTAGTTGTTATATTTATTATCTGCATCATTTTTTATGTCTATATTTTAATTTACTTCATTTTGTACAGTATATTGCTTTGTGTGTTACCTCTTGTTCTGTCTGTACAGCACCTTGGTTGGCCTTGTCGCTCTTGTAAGTGCTCTATAAATAAAATGGCATGGTATGGGTGTAGACAAACATATGCTGTGATATATTCATAAATTAAACGGATTCTTTCATTTTTCTGGACTGAATAATGTCGTGTGTTGAATTATTAAATGTGGACGGAAACGTGTTTATCTTTGACCCATCAAAATGAATGCGGTCATTTATTTACAGAATCAAAGTTTAACACATCACACATTTACATTAATTTGGCGAAATGAAAATAACAACATGGCTTAGTTAGCAAGCTGTACAATTTGATTAACCATACGGCGATGGTTAAAAACCTTGCTTCACAACAGACATTTCTGGAAATATCTGGAATGATTTCTAGCAGGATAGAAGAGTTTTAAAGATGGAAATGAAGTTTAGAGGGAGAAAGGATGGATGAGGGAAATGTGTGTGTCGGCATCAGAACGGCACTCTCCGGTGAGTTCCCAGCTTCTTCCCCGGTACACTTAGGTGGTATAAATCAACTCTTTACCTGGAGGAGATTTCTCCACTGGTACGAAGTTCCATTTAACGCACCCTTTCAGCGTCTCCGTAGGAACAGCTGTGAATCGTCCGAAGTAGTGACGGTACTTTTCGACACACGTTCACCTCTTGGTGGACTCACATGAGTGGAGTCCGTCAGAAGTTCCACTCAGATGTGGAAGATTGCATGATTCCCACAAGACTCGGAAGAGCTCTGGATCATGCCTGGACTTCTGTTCTCCCAGCACTGGAGCTGCAAACGACTGAAGCCGGAGCCTGAAGCGACTGGTTTGAACTAGGAAGTACCGACATTTAAAGAGTTCTATTTCCGGTTCATTTGGGAGGTTCCTGATTGGTCGTTTCGACCAGACAGGTGTGTTTTTGTGACGTAAGAGGTTATTAAGAGCCAAGGAAAAAGATTAAGATTGTTTAAGAACAGACAGAAGATTGCTATGAAAATTCCAGACTTCGTGGAGTCAATTCTCTAGTATCTTTCTGTAAAAGTTAAACATGACATTTCTTTTCAGTAAACTTGCAGTTGACCGAAACTTGACCTTTGACCAACTTACACAACTTGCTCATTGAAGACAGAAAATCAGACAATGCATCATTAACCTGATTTCTACTTTGAATGAGGATAAAAATCACTAATACTGTTTCACAGTTGATTTAAAAATGAGTAGTTCACTTCAACATTTAAAATGGTTTGAACTAAACACAATTTGATTATCAAAACATTTGTAAAATAGTAATGATAATAGAAAAAGAGAGTGTTCTTTCAATTGATCAGTGCAGGACACTTAGAAAGTCTCTGGATGAACTTAATCTTGTGTTTCTGGACTCAAATCAATGAAATAACAGTTCTTGTCCCAGAAAGGCCCCCAAGGCCAGGATTTGACCTCAGGCCTAGTTCACTACATGGGTATCACTCAAACCTCCTCTTATAATCACATCACCCCTGTCCTGCAGCAGCTCCACTGGCTCCCGGTTAAATCAAGCATTGTCTTCAAAATTTTTCTTCTCACTTTCAAAGCTATCCACAACCTTGCCCTTCCGTACCTATC